AGATGTAACTTTAACATCCGGTTCTCCCGAACCGGTCTGAACTGGTAGAATACCACCCCTGAAACAGAGTACACAAAGACAATCAATCTTGCTCAAGGGCACCTGTGAATCTGATTTCCAAACTTCTAAATCCAAAACTAGAATGTTATTTGGGGAATTTACAGCGATCTTTTGGAAGGTCTTAGTAAAAAGGACAATGTTAGAAGCGATGCAGATATAACATTGTTCAGTCTGCTAACCATATGCAGCATTAAGATGTCAGAATCTGGCACATGGATTCTGCATCAATTCATTTTCACAGTTAAATGAGATAATGGGGTATCTGTGGGAGGGGGAGGCAAATGTTGAATTGCAATGTGAGCTTTGCCCCTTTTGAACATGCATCATGACATCATCACACACCTATGTGCAGGGGCCGACCTTGCATGGCAATGTTACAAAACTCACTGGTCATCCTACCCAAACTTTTATAGAGTCCATGGTATGCTGCTAAGTGATCATTTGTTCTCTACTGTTTACAACCGTGGTTAAAAATCCATGGGCATGATGTAAACCAGAGGTCCCCAAACGTGGCAACTTTAAGACCTGTGGATTTCAACTCCCCGAATTCTCCAGTCAGTACATGCTGGCTGGAGAGTTCGGGGAGTTAAAGTCCACAAGTCTTAAAGTTGACAAGTTTGGGGACCCCTGATGTGGACTGTGCTATCTAGCTGTAAAGACATAACTAATCGTAATAACAAACAAGAAAAGGACACCTGAGAGATTGTGCTCCTGATTGTGTTCGTGAAGAAATTAAGTGGTATTCTGCCTGAGTTAGGCAAAGGTTCGTAACTCTGACTTACTGTGGTATCTTCCGAACATGATGCTATTACAAAGTCATCGAAGGGGTTCCATTTGATGTCTAATACATTTCCTTTGTGCCCACAGATGCGAGGATAATGAGGGTCAAGTTTTCCTGTCTAAAAACAAATGGAAAAGTTTAATTCTATAATGAGTTCTCTGAAAAGGCTTATTTATCATATTTATTATTGATGATCATCGCGCAGTCAGCCAGATGTTCAGAGTGGGTTTGGCATTTTTGTCTACCTATCAAGTCCTTACCACAGACCTGGGATAGACAAATCTGGATGTTTGATGGTGTTACAAATATCATTGAAGGATGGAAGCTGTTCCAAGTAAAGCCGCTTTCTGCAATTGACTGATGGTGAATTTGTCAATGCCAATGGCGTTCAAGTGTTGCTCCAGTTGTTTTTGGAATTTCACCCAAGGCGCCTAATACTATTGGTACTACCCTTGCTTGCCTTTGCCACAGTCATTCTATTTCTATTTGTAGGTCTTTGTATATTATTATTATTATTATTGTTGTTGTTGTTGTTAATCTTTGGTGAGATTCACAGCCTTTGGGGCTGGTTGGTAGCTCAACAGCTCAAGTCCTAACCAAGGACCTAGGAACTCTTAAGTTAGCGTTGGAGGATATAATCTGTTCCAAGTAGTGTTTTTTTTTTTTTTTTGTAGAATCAGGGTATTCAAGTCTGATAAGTTCAGAATTTCCAAATAGCGAGGTAGCCCTTTAGGTATTGCTCCAAGGCCTCCAATTACAATTGGGATAACACATGATTTCTTTTTCCAAAGTCGCTCAACTTCAATTTGTAAGTCCCAGTACTGTGTGATTTTTTCTTGCTGCTTGTCTTCAATTCGTGCATTACCAGGTATTGAAATGTCAATGAACCAAACCTTTTTCTTTTGAACTATTGTTATGTCAGGTTATTATTATTATTATTATTATTATTATTATTATTATTATTATTATTGAAATTTATAATTCTATGAATTATAAAAAGGCCATATTCCTTGGATCCATACGTATACAAACTGATACATTATGACATCCTTGGGAAGAACTTGATGCCAATGAAGGGAAACATCAGCTGAAGAACCAGCAGCTGTGATTTCCCATTGTTGTGTATATAATAATAATGCTAATAAAGCTGCATTTTCCGTAGCATGCATGTTTGTGGTCTCAATTGCTTGGCTCAAAAGCAGGCTGAGTTTTAATTTATCTCCCCTTTTTAAAAATACCAAATGCTTTATTCTTTAATACATAATTCATCGTAACATTACCTATCATGCATGTGCTTGTACAGATAGCTCTCAGTTCACCTTAACAACCATTCAGAGATACGACGACACTGAATAAGGGGATACATAGCTAGTCCAACTCCAGGTCTAGGTCTAAGGGTCGAGGCCTCCCCTGTTACAAAGAGAAGCTTCTATTTATAGCACATGGGAGACAGTCTTGTCTTGTACCCAAGTCATGAAATATACTCTTTTGGATATACGTCTGTTGCAGTGCTTAGGAAATCTGCAAAGATGCATCTGGGTTCCCAGGTGTTTATCAGGTAATTTTAGTGTGATAAGACGTTTAGTATAACTAATTAAAAATGATGCTTAAAATGACTTCCAGTGTTGATAATTTTATTTTTCGTTTAAAACTTTGTATGTTTTGTTTTCATTTTTTTTCCCCACCACCTTAAATGCTTGCCAAAGCAGAAAAGTAGGGCATATATAAAGTAAGGAAATAAGCAAAAAAAACAACAAACCAGCTTCAGTATGAACGTAACACACAGGGCGCAGGGCGCAAGACTTTTATCAAACTGTGGCAGTGCCAGGTCAATATACAGATGTAACAGGGTAGATTAAAGGAAGGGGGAGGGGGGCAGGAGCAAAAAGCAGCATCTGGATATCTTACAGCTCGCTTCCTTATAGTTAACAGTTTTTAAAGAAGTCATTCCCCAAGAGGAGGCTGTGAGAGAAATACTAGCACGCTGTAAAACAAATTAATTTAATAATGCAAGGCTGCCATCTAGCACAAAGTCCATTATGATTCCTTTATGAGTTATATATGCAAAATACATACAGGTTGTTTCGCATTTACTTATTTATATATATTAGATTTTTACCCCACCTTTGTCACTTTATAAGTTATTCAAGGCAGCGAACGTAGGTAATACTCTTTCCTCTTCCTATTTTCTCCACAACAATAAACCTGTGAGGTGAAGTTTCCCTAAATGCTGAACAAACATGTCCCAGGGACAGTTTTGTTCTGCTACATCCTTATGATGTTGCCTTTCTCTTATTTCATCCCTTACCTGAGGAACTTAAACTTGAAATGAGAAAAAAAATAATACAGGTAATCCTCGACTTACGGCCACAATTGACCCAACATTTCTGTTGCTAAGTGAGACATTTATTAAGTCAGTCTTGCCCCACTTTACAACCTGTTTTGCCAGAGTTGCTAAGTGAATCACTGCAGTTGTTAAGTTAGTAACAACTTACTAAGAGTTGCTGAGTTGCCAGAGTTGTTAAGTGAATCTGTCTTTCCCCATTGACTTTGCTTGTTGGAAGATCGCCAAAGGTGATCACATGACTTCAGGATACTGCAACTGTCATAAATATGAGTCAGCTGACAAGCATCTGAATTCTGATCATGCAATGGTTCTAAGTGTGAGAACTGGTCATAAGAAAACTGGTCATAGTGCTGTTGTAATCTTGAACAGTCACTAAATGAACTATTATGAATACTGGAAAGACAACTTTTAAGCTGCCTCTGCTGTATGCTGAACCTGAGACAACAGTGTCATGAGCATGTATGAATTAAATATATCAGGGATTAACAGTTGGTCACGCCAACATTAAAGGGACCTGAGAATGGGCCCATAAAGATTTCTCACTCTTGAGTTGAGCCCAACTATCCTTTCTTTCAAACATGTATGTATGGGATTATGGAGTCCTGCCCCTACTCTTCTTTGACCTCCATAGGTTCAGGTAAATGGAGATCAAGTTGCATTTGTTATAACAAAATTATACTAAGCTACTGCAACACTTCATACAATTCAGGAGATTAATAGCACCGACATTACAAGTAACCCATGAAAGGAACAGCACTTTATTCACCCCAGTCATAGATTTTTCCAGATTTCGTAGGTTTTATATACAGGTTGAAATATCACCAGGGGTCCTGAAAAGTGGTGGCAGAGGTGGTATTCAGCAGGTTCTGACCAGTTCTGGAGAACCGGTAGCTACTTAAATTTTGAGTAGTTTGGAGAACCAGCAAATCCCACCTCTGACTGGAGATTTTACAGTATCCTTCCCCTGACACACTCACCAAGCCACGCCCACAGAACCGGTAGTAAAAAATTTTGAATCATACCACTGAGTGGTGGGATTCAAATTTTTTTACTACTGGTTCTATGGGTGTGGATTGAAGGGCGTGGCATGGCTTGGTAGGCGTGGCAGAGGAAGGATACTACAAAATCCCATTCCCTCCCCACCCCACTAACCTGCTTTCCAGCTCTATTCTCCTGTGCAGGGCAACAAAAGAAGAACCAGCCGATCAGCTGGGACTTGGGAGGCAGAGAATAGATGGGGTGGGGTCAGTCAGAGGTGGTATTTGCCAGTTCTCCGAACTACTCAAAATTTCTGCTACTGATTCTCCAGAACTAATCAGAACCTGCTGAACACCACCTCTGCTCATAAGCACACAAGCATCCACACAACAGACCAAGTAATACTGTCCAATAGCTTACTGATGGTGGTCCTTAAGTTCATAGTTAAGTGCAATTATAGCTCTGGGATAAAAACTGTTCAGAAAATGTGTGGTCCGAGTTTTAATTGTTCTGTATCTTCTGCTAGAAGGCAACAGTTCACAAAGATTGTAAGCAGGATGAGAAGAGTCTCTGAGAATGTTGTGCAGCTTCTTCAAACAGTGAATGCGAAGATGTCGTCCAGGCCTGGTAGCTGGAGCTCGATGCTATTCTGGGCAGTTTTAATGATTCTCTGTAGAGCATTTTTGTCCGCTACAGAGCTGCTCCCATACCATACAAGAATGCTGTATGTCAGGACACTCTCAATGGTGCTGCGGTAGTAAGACAGAAGTAGATGCTGAGATAGATTTATCTTCCTGAGCATTCTCAGGAAGTACAACCTCCCATCAAATTAGACAGAACCTGAAGATCTGTTGGGTTTAAGAGGTGCAGACAAAGGAACAATTCAAAGCATGAGGAGCCTGTGTGGTGAAAGGAAATGGACAGAGGTAGTCCTTGACTTACGACCACAAATGAGGCCAAAATTCCTGTTGCTATGCAAGATGGTTAAGTGAGTTCTGCCCCCTTTTGCGACCTTTTATGCCACAGTTAAGTGAATCACTGCAGTTATTAAGTTAATAACATCGTTGTAAAGTGAAGGTGGCTTCCCCATTGACTTTGGTTTGGCAGGAGGCTGCAAAAGGTGATTGTCATATGACCCCGGGACACTGAAACCATCATAAATATAAGCTAAGTATCTAAATTTTGATCCCATGACCATGGCAACACTGCAACGGTCATGTGGGAAAAAAAGTCATAAGTCATATTTCTCAGTACCGTTGTAATTTCAGATGGTCACTAAACCATGGTTGTAAATCAAGGACTAACACTGCTTGTGCATCATGATTGCAGACAACATTGCTAATTTTTCAAGTGACCATTCAGGGCAAAAACAAAGCCCTCACTGAAAACGAGTGACTGATTTGGGCTTTATCAACATTGGGCCTCCTATGTCTTTATCCACCCCACTCACACCCACACCAGTAAGCCCGTTATATAAGGAGAGGCTTGGAGATACCTACTTGACTGATTGGTATAACAAGAAAGGCGCCGCCACCTGCACATTCGGTCACCACGGCAATAAAACGAGGATTGACAGCACAAAACTGGTTGTCATAGACACTGTGGGTGATGGGCACGTTGTCATAGCAGTTCTCCTTACTGGCCGCCTTGCCATATACGTGGCGGAATTTAGAACTCCGGTACTGAGGATTCCATGACATCTGCAAGGCAGAAAGAGAATGTACAAGCATGAAGTCTTCAGACTCTTGAATTTTCCATACTCTTGCCAGACTTGGCTGAGGAATTCTGGGAGTTAGGTGCCAAGCTTTGAGATCCATGCTCTTGTCCTACAGTTACAGTTATCTTCCAACCATGCTGTGGAAGTTCAGACAAATTTGAGACAGCCTAACTGCTTGGAATCTCCTAAATATACCATATAATCAATAGGAAGGTCACTTAATGTGAGATCTTGGCAGAGGACGCTCTGGGAAAGATTCATGAGGAAGATCTCCCTAAGAAACCAGAACCTTTTAGAATTGAAAAGTCATTGATGAAATATTAATCTGTGCTTAGATTTTGACAATTTTATTGTGAAGATCTCTTTTATGCAGCCAGTACCAATCAACTCTCAGGCAGCTCTGTATTAGAAAGAACTGAATTGCTCAACACTGTATAAGATCAAAATCAAACAAATTATATGACAGATTATTGCCTTGTGTGAATAGAGTCACATATAATGCTACAAAAACAAACCAGGAAACTGAGAAGAATGTAAGGTTGCTACCAGATCCTGCGGGCAGGGAGGCGGGGGCAGGGTGCAATACTGTACAGTAAGAATACATACCATAATATCTTGCTATTCCTTCCTTCCTTCCTTCCTTCCTTCCTTCCTTCCTTCCTTCCTTCCTTCCTTCCTTCCTTCCTTCCTTCCTTCCTTCCTTCCTTCATCAAGCATACTGGGACTTGAAAAGGTCAAGTACTCTTCAAAGCAGAGCTTCAGGCTAAATTCTAACCTTTTAAATCCTTTTTTATGCATCGTAATTGAAAATGCCCTAGGTGATTTATTTACAGATTTAAAAAAAGAGAGAACTCAGCAATCAAGATTTCCTGATATTAAAAGGAGAAGAGATTATTATCTCCCTTTAAAGACATACTGTAGTTTGTTGGCTCCAGGATACATTCCCTTCATTCATTCAGCACATATTTTTTTGCAGATGTCTACACTCCAAAGTCTGTAAGAATGCATTGTTGTACTATTGCATATTATGCTTTCTATCTAAGGTTTCACCAATTACTTTCAGCTATGAAGCACCAAGAAAAGGTACCTTTAAGTTGAGCTTGACTCCATGTGATTATTTATTATTATTTACTTGTTTATTTACTTCGTTATCAAAGTTTGGTTTTGGTTCTCCAATGTGAGAGTCACAAATGAAACAGATGTTTAGCACACCATAAAGCATAATAATTGGAGCAGAGGTCTCCAAACTTGGCAACTTTAAGACTTGTGGACTTCAACTCCCAGAATTCTCCAGCCAGTTGAAGTCCACAAGTCTTAAAGTTGCTAAATTTGGGGACCCCTGAATTGGAGGAACAAGAGATAAAACCTATTCTGCAATGCAGCTCTCTAAAGTCAGACAGCAACATGGAGAAATGATGGTCGCATGTAGAACCGTTATTAATTACAGTAAGTTGCCAATCAAGCCAGTGTTACTAATAATAGCAGGCAAGTGAAGAGAAAGAGTTATTTCTACATACATATTTTTATGTGAATCTGTACATAGACATATTGGTCTATCTGTCTGTCCGTGCAGGGCACTTTTTATACCTCTAACTCAGGGCTGTCAAACTCACAGCCCATGGGCCAGATGTGTCACGTGCTGGCCATGCCCATGCCCGGTTTAGCGAAAGGGGAACATTTCCCGGTATGTCACGTGAGACTGCAGTGACAGCGCCGAGTTTGACACCCCTGCGCTAACTGCATCTTTATTGGCTACTAATGGGTAATATTTTTTTCATGCAATGTTGCCAGTCAATGAGCACACCATAGCTATCAGCCACATTATTTTAACTTGTTAAGTGTGTAACAGCCTGTTTTATTCCTTGGCATCTCAGGGTAAGGCAGTAGAAACAGAGGTGGTATTCAGCAGGTTCTGACCAGTTCTGGAGAACCAGTAGCGGAAATTTTGAGTAGTTCGGAGAACCAGCAAATACCACCTCTGACTGGAGATTTTACAGTATACTTCCCCTGCCGTGCCCACCAAGCCACGCCCACAGAACCGGTAGTAAAAAAATTTGAATCCCACCACTGAGTAGAACCTCCCCACCCAAACTTCTCATTTTCCTGAAGAGCTGTCATATACAACTGCTGGTCTAATCTGATAGGTCACGAGTTGTATCAGCCAACATGAGGCTGATGGGACTATATATCTCCAGAATTGTAACAAAAACAGTACCTGGCAAAGGATGCTTACCTTTCACTGACTGGATCTCAGCTCACAATCACTTTAATCTTTCTACCGCCTGCATAGGTTGCATTCTGCCACCCTCATGAAATAAAAAAATGTGGGTTGGTCCGAAAAAACGAAACAAATGAAGCCATGAAAACAATCCTGACAGAAATGAGTCAGCCATGCCCATTGGCTACACACGTCTCCTCTCGGCCTGTGCCTCCAGCCACTAGGTCCAAAGCAAACAAATCACTTGGAAGCTGAAACTTCATCTGCTGGGGTGTGGCTCTTGCTGCCTCTTCTCCATCAGCTGAACAAATTCATTTTGCCGTCTTGGCATGTCTACCTGCGACTTCAGGGTATCGGTGACCTACCTTGTTGTTTGATTAACCTTCTTGAGGGCAGCAGCCGAAGTCCAAGTGTCTCTCTAAGGGCTTTTATTAAACAGATCTTCTCTTTATGAGAGGCACACGCTAATACTAAACCACTTTCTTGTTCATTATATTCTTCTTTCTCCATCTTTCTCTCTCTGAAGCAGGGCTGTGTTCAGGAAGGGCAGGGGTGGGCCATTAATGTTTCCCAAGGTGACACATGAGAAACTGCGACTATAATGGAGGGCCGAATCCTAGGGCTGTAATGGTGCGTAGGTAGGCATGCATGCACACACATATGTAAATTGGAAGAGAAAAAAAAGCAGTTGCCTTCAAAATAAAAGCAATGCAGTTTTATTATGTGCATGATGTATGCTTATTTACATTCGATTTCTAATTTCTAACTGACCTCATGTAAGCTGGACAGGAACAGCCAAAGGATGTGCTCAGAGGCTGTAAAATGGCCAGATCTGAGATAGATAGATAGATAGATAGATAGATAGATAGATAGATAGATAGATAGATAGATAGTGTGTGTGTGTGTGTGTATTGGACAAATGTTTCAAGTGTGACATAGAATAACATATTTAGGAGAGTTACCTTCTAGGTAGATATGATGTAATCCTCATTCTGAAAGAACACATGCGTCATCTATCTCCTCATTCAAGCCTTCTGCTTTCAAAGTGCTTCCTTTATCATCTGGTCCCTGCCCAATATTGCTCATTTTTCCCACACATAGCACAGCAGAAGACTAACCCCTCCCCAATAATATTGTTCAATCATTCTCTTCTGGTCGCCATTGATTTGATACAATTTCTGATTTCAGGGTGACTATGAGATTATCAAATGATAACTATAATATGTAAATTTATAAGTTAAAAAACAACAACTCCAAACTGTTTTAATTGTTTAAAATATTCTCATTGTGGACCAAAAGCGGTTCTATGCACTTTTTCAAGTCTAGCTCAGTGATTGAAAAGACTTAAAACAACAAAGCACTAAGTCTCTGGATAAAATATCAGTTATGAATTCAATAACATGAGAAAACAATCATCCCTAACTGTAGCTTTCTCTGTCCTGCATGCTCCAGATACATTTTAAGGCATTTCCCATCATTTCCAACTCTCCTGGCCATATCTACAAAACATCAGATAGGGAAGTTTAATTGAAATTCAGTAAGAAGCAATACCATTACTCCTCAGTTTCTCTCTCTCTCTCTCTCTCTCTCTCTCCCTCCCTCCCTCTCTTCTCCCTTTCTAATAATTCTGAGAACAAATAGGTGGAATAGTTTTACCAAATGCTCAGGTTTGAGTGAGTATCAAGTGCCTCCAGAAAATGCTAAGATCTGCACTTCAGCAAATACCTAACTCCAGAAACGAGGAAGTAGAGAACCCAAAATGCACTTCTGAATCTTTGCCAGCAGGCTGGCTTGCACACAATATAGACTGCTAATGGACCTCAAAAATCGTAAAAGGAAGGAAGGAAGTCTTTGGAGATTAAATGGTACATTGTTCCTGAAAAATAATCAGTACAAATTTTAATCCCTTATCTGTAATTTGAAGACACTTGCTCCTTTTATAACTTTTTTTAAAGAGGATTATAGTGATGCTTTCTTGCAAAACTTTGTGATCATGTTAGGAGTAAGACTGATGTTCCTAAAAAACTCATTAAAAATTCCTTTGTGAGGAAAATGAGAACAATACTGCCCCGAAGTAGTGTTCCACCACAACAAATCTTGTACAGACTACAGTATTCTGGTGAGGCGGAAGTAAGATCCTCTACTCATAGCTACTGTTATGCATGAGTTATATGGACATGCCAAAATCTGTCCTAATATTCTCTGAAATGCCCAGAGATTTCTCATGATAGTGAATGACAAAATGCCACATAAAGGACGTTGGATATGCAAATAGCATCATGGCTGTCGTAACCTGGCCGGATTAAAATAACCACAAGATGTGGCTGCACAACTCAAGAACAGCCACCAAATAAACAGCAACGAAAAGCAAGGGTATTATGTAACGCTTGTTGCCACATAGTGGTCTGGATTTTTGCAGCTCAAATCCAATCTTTACTGACACTATAGATCTTTTTATAAACAAACCCTAGATGATCTAACTTGCGCACTGCATAACCTAAAAAGAAGCAAGCCTCTGCTTGTGAACTCTTCCACAAGATGCTTGCTTGGCTTCAGAACAAGGTATTTTAAACGCTGACAACAAGCCAATTCTCTACTTCAGTGGACAGGCAGACAGTCTGATAGTCTGTAGAGATTCTCAGTCATCCAGGTCATGCTTATCCCAAAGGTGCTTTTTTTCAGAAGGCAACTGGACTTTCTTGGGTTTTTCTTTTGAAGATGTTTTGCTTCTCATCCAAGAAACTTCTTCAGCTCTGACAGGAGAG